CGTCACACGCTTGAGGTATTCGGCCAATCACAATGCACTGGATAGCTGGCCAATCACAGCAGACCTCGCTTTTCAGACCGATGAGCTTTGAAAAAATTGACGCTTTTCAGAAAGGGGCATAGAGGAGAAGAAACAGTAATGTACATTATATGGAAAATAATGTGGTTTTTTAACCTTAAACCGCATAAACATTTCATTACACCAAATACACAAAATAATGTTCTTTTTAGCAACATCATATGACCCCTTTAATTCCTCATTAGTGGTGCTCTTTATGATATGATAAAATGAGATTTCTTGCAAACAAATGTGAGTTGTGCTTCAGTTGGCCTTCAGTTGTGTTTGTGTCTGTATCAGGTTTTGGAGGAAGTTGTTTTCAGAAGGATGTGCTGAATTTGGTGTATCTGTGTGAGGCACTGAATCTCCCAGAGGTTGCTTCATACTGGCAACAGGTAAACTTCACTTTGAATGCTTATTTAGTAAGTCTTGATGGGATATGTTGGCTTTGCGTGAGTCATCATTCAGTGGAAAGACGCATCAAGTCAGATTTAGCTTCACGTAAAATCATCAAATGGTTGACGGATCATGTCACAGCATGTTTGAATGTGTGGAGATGCACATGGGAAGTGAGAAGTGGCTGTTGAAAATTCAGCTTGGCCATCATCGGAATAAATTACATTTTAATATATACTAAAATAGAAAACAGTTATTTTAATTGTAATGATATTTCACAATATTACAGTTTTTATTGGTGTGCTCAAATAAATACATCCTTGGTGAACATAAGCGATTTATTTCAAAAACGTTTAAAAGTCTTACCAACCAAAAACTTTCATATGATAACTTGTCATACGAAAACTCATTGATATCAGAAAATAAGTTTGATTAATTTTGTCTAACCTTTTACTCTGTGCTTCCTTATGTTCAGGTGATTGACATGAACGAATATCAGAGAAAGAGATTTGCCTGTCGGATCATTGACTGCCTGTTTAACACCGTTACGGGGAAGAAAATCGCTTTGTTAGGTTTCTCCTTCAAGAAGGACACGGGAGACACCAGGTACGTACAGGGATACTTTGAACCAGTCTGTTTTATTTATGACGAGTCAAAAGCTGTGTCTTTCACTTTTACCTACAAAACACAGACCATGATATGTCAGAGCATGAGTTAACCATCAACTTTGATTGTGTAATGAAGATTACACATAGTTTTCCTTGGTTTGAACTATATCCTATTAAAACCATGCAGACTTAAAACACTGCAATACATGCGTAAACACACCTGTGCCACCCATGACCTTTATCTAGAGTCACTGAGTATATGTCATGCCTCTGCATCACATGCTTGAGGTATTCGGCCAATCACAACACACTGGATAGCTGGCCAATCAGAGCACACCTCGCTTTTCAGACCGATGAGCTTTGAAAAAATTGACGCTTTTCAGAAAAGCGGGGCATAGAGGAGAAACAGTAATGTACATTATATGGAAAATAATGTGGTTTTTTAACCTTAAACCGCATAAACATTTCATTACACCAAATACACAAAATAATGTTCTTTTTAGCAACATCATATGACCCCTTTAATTCCTCATTAGTGGTGCTCTTTATGATATGATAAAATGAGATTTCTTGCAAACAAATGTGAGTTGTGCTTCAGTTGGCCTTCAGTTGTGTTTGTGTCTGTATCAGGTTTTGGAGGAAGTTGTTTTCAGAAGGATGTGCTGAATTTGGTGTATCTGTGTGAGGCACTGAATCTCCCAGAGGTTGCTTCATACTGGCAACAGGTAAACTTCACTTTGAATGCTTATTTAGTAAGTCTTGATGGGATATGTTGGCTTTGCGTGAGTCATCATTCAGTGGAAAGACGCATCAAGTCAGATTTAGCTTCACGTAAAATCATCAAATGGTTGACGGATCATGTCACAGCATGTTTGAATGTGTGGAGATGCACATGGGAAGTGAGAAGTGGCTGTTGAAAATTCAGCTTGGCCATCATCGGAATAAATTACATTTTAATATATACTAAAATAGAAAACAGTTATTTTAATTGTAATGATATTTCACAATATTACAGTTTTTATTGGTGTGCTCAAATAAATACATCCTTGGTGAACATAAGCGATTTATTTCAAAAACATTTAAAAGTCTTACCAACCAAAAACTTTCATATGATAACTTGTCATACGAAAACTCATTGATATCAGAAAATAAGTTTGATTAATTTTGTCTAACCTTTTACTCTGTGCTTCCTTATGTTCAGGTGATTGACATGAACGAATATCAGAGAAAGAGATTTGCCTGTCGGATCATTGACTGCCTGTTTAACACCGTTACGGGGAAGAAAATCGCTTTGTTAGGTTTCTCCTTCAAGAAGGACACGGGAGACACCAGGTACGTATAGGGATACTTTGAACCAGTCTGTTTTATTTATGACAAGTCAAAAGCTGTGTCTTTCACTTTTACCTACAAAACACAGACCATGAGATGTCAGAGCATGAGTTAACCATCAACTTTGATTGTGTAATGAAGATTACACATAGTTTTCCTTGGTTTGAACTATATCCTATTAAAACCATGCAGACTTAAAACACTGCAATACATGCGTAAACACACCTGTGCCACCCATGACCTTTATCTAGAGTCACTGAGTATATGTCATGCCTCTGCATGTGGATTGTTTCAGAAGAGAATTATAACTGTTGTTTTTTTTTAACCTCCATTCAAGACATCATTACTTTTTTGTTTTGTTTTTTTTACCTCCATTCAAGACATAATAGAATGGGGCATGAACACAAGCTTATAACAAATGCCTTCAATAACTAAGTGGGGTCCAAAGTCTGATACCACTAGTGAAAATAATTATATTATTAGCATGACAATTTGTCACAAATTGTCACACAGTTGTGTGAAAAGTTTCACATGAATTTCAGAATGTTTTATTATTTAATATGTCCATCTTTTCCTAATGGGAGCAGCATTTAAGGTAATATGAACTCCAGAAGTTTATGCAATACCTGGTGATCATGTTATGCAGCACAATTTAAGCATGATTCATGGCATTAATCATTCCTAGATTAACAGCATTGATGGAAGCAAGGAAATCTGACTTTTAGTGCAAAGGTGTGACTGTCACAAATGTACTTATTTTATTAGTGATATAGAACTAATGCAAAATCATAAATGTTTATTACACTGTTAGTTCCAATCTTCGAATTTGATTAGCTGAGTGTTGATGTTCAGACAAACAAGTCTTTTTACTGTATCACTCTGCTTTTCTTTGCCTTAGTCGAAGGCATTTTTACATTGTTTCGCCAGTAGGTGCCTACAAGTGAATTATAATAATTAATTGAATTATTCACTTAATTCTTCAGTCAATTCTTTCAATTCAATTTGGACTTTGTTTAGAGGTATTTTCAATGGAAGCTCAAAAATAGGCAAATGATGTTGTTTCGGAGTAACTAGGTATTAACCGGTTCATTTTTTCTTAAACAATATAACCCTCACAGTTGAGTGAGATTTCACAATGAGATTATTCTATTCTATTCTAGTCTTTTGGACACCACCGTGAAATTATGACAGTTTCATTAAACTGCCTGAAAAAAAAAAAATCAAATTTTCAATATTGTATAATATTATTTAAAATATTATTAGTTATTTAATATGTTCTATTTTTGCTACTGTTCTCTTTTATTCATAAAGGGCCTTTTCCATGGCATCATAATCTGTGTGTAAATGGGAATCTTGTGTTGTAAGTTTCTCCTGTGTGTATGTGTGTTTCAGAGAGTCCTCCAGTATCTACATCTCTAAGTATCTGATGGACGAAGGAGCCAAGCTGCATATTTATGACCCTAAAGTGCTGAAGGAGCAGATAATCCAGGACCTGTCTCAACCCAGCATTTCCGGAGACAACCCAGAGAGAGGTATGCGTGTTGAGCAGATAAAACCATGCATTAGGTCAAGAGGGAGCGAGTGCTGTGTCATGCTGAATGTCATGTAGGGGAGAGACTCGCATAAGAGAACGCAGGAGAAAGTTTGCGTCTGCGTGTTTCTGTCTAATTTGCCGTGACTCTCATTCTCTCTGCAGTGTCTGATCTTGTAACAGTGACGTCGGACCCCTATGAGGCATGTGAAAGTGCACATGCCCTGGTCATCTGCACAGAGTGGGACATGTTTAAGGTACATGGCACACAGAAAAACACAAACTCAATGCAGATTTAGAAAGCACTGATGTATTAGTGTAATATATGAATCATGCTTTGATTTAAAGTGGTTTGCTTTACAAAAGCAGAACTGTCACTTGCCCTATTGGACCAACACTATATCAGCGCCATATTTATTGATCATGTGCATGCATTTTTGTGCCTTGCAAACAATGCATTAATTTCCAGGTATTTTTGCACATTTTCTTACAGTTTTATTATTAATAAATGTTTGATTTACCTATACATGTATATATTTAAAAAATATTACTAATTAGTATTTTTTATAATAATTTTTAGAATAAATCATACATTTAAATGTAAATATAATATTATAAAAGCAATTTAGAATATTCATTTAGAAATATATCAATGTGTAATACTAAATAATATTTTTAAATAATCATTTTACAGTTAATACAAAACATATTACAAATGTAAATTTATTGATGTTTGGTCATATAATAATTTATTTAGAAATGTAAAAATGTTTAATACATTAAAAAAATTAGAATAAATGCGGAATTATAAATTTACATGCAAAAATAATATAAATAATACATTTTTGGTGGTAACACTTTATTTTAAGGTGTCCTTGTTACACATGCTACATGTACTTACTATTATAATAACAATAAATTATGCATAATTACATGCAAGTAACCCTAACCAGTAAGTACATGTAGTTAATTAATATTACTCCGTACTTAATGGTATAATTACACTGTAACAAGGACACCTTAATATAAAGTATAACCTTTTCGGTTTATATATTTAATTAATTTAGAATGTAAATAAATATATAAATAAATAAAAATAGACTATTACATTTACATTTCTAAGTGTAAATTACAATTTAAATAAATCTGAACTTTTGCGCAGCTCGTCAGTGAACAACGGCTCTGTGTAGTTAATGCTGCTCAATGTGAAAGCACGCATGTGATGGAGATTTACCGCTGATTACAGAACCGGCTTTCTGACAAGATGCGCGTTAAATATCGCATGCAATTTATCGTGCAGCCCTACACACAATGGTATGTCTAAAAAGAATAGTGAAGTATTGCATGTGTTTGTTTTTAGGACCTGGATTATGAGAAAATATACCACAAGATGTTGAAACCAGCATTTATCTTTGATGGTCGACGAGTCCTGGACCATCTGCACCCTCAGCTACAAAACTTTGGCTTTCAGGTGAGTGGATATTTGTGCAGTTAACATGTTAGTAGCTGTGCCTACCTGCCTGACTTCATCACTCTATTAATTGGCATGGTTTAATGTTGTGTGCTTTGCATAGATCGAGACCATTGGAAAGAAGGTGACAACCCGAATTCCCTTCACACCATCTGGAGGAGTTCCGCGAATCAATGAACCACCCATCAAGAAATCCAAAGCCTAGACACAGACTCATACACACACGCATGTGCACTTTACATTGATTAAAGTCTTTTGCTGAGAAAACCAAAGTAATGTGTGACCGTTGCTGGAAATCTGTTTGTAAAAATGCATGTGCTGTGTGTGTTGTGTGCGTGTGTTTCTGTCTTCAGAATGTTTTTTTAAGACTGAGTTTTATCTTTCATGGCCGTTCACAAAAATGCAGTGATTTAATGTTTTAAACACTTTGTCATTTGTGTCTTGGTTTTTAAAATCATTATTCTTGAAATTTTTTAGAATGTTCTCATGTCTGTGCCATTTCGGAAAAAATTTGAAACGTCTATTAACTGTACACAAAACTGATGTTAATACATTAACATCCCAGTACTGTTTAGTAGTATATTATTGTTTACAGTTATCAGTGTTATCGTAGTGTAGATTTTAATGACAAAATCATCTACTTATTTGAGAGTGATGTCTGAAGGAGCAGCAACAGAAGGAATGGCAACTTTTAAATACTAGGACCAAGTGGGACATAAAAAAACGCTGTTGCCTGAAATTTGGCATGTGATACCAAATAGCTGTTTGTGTCACTCCGTTATTAATCATTTATGAATCCTCTGATATGTATTGTTCAACCTGCACGGTGTATGTTATTGTAGAGTCACAGTTGTAGCTTTTATAAAATCATCTCTTACTGTACAGGTTTATAATGGTCATGTATTATGATTGAAGAAAATGTAATTCTTAAATAAATATGGACCAATGAAATGAAGCGGTTTTGGATACTCATTTCACAGGCTTAAATATGGAAGCCAACCATGGCTGAAACAAACAAAAAAACAACAACAACACGATCTTTGACAAGTTTGAATTGAATATATTGTGTTGATATTACTTAAAGGGGTCATAGGATGCCCATTTTCCACAAATTGATATGATTCTTTAGAGTCTTAATGAAAAGTCTATAACATACTTCGGTTAAAATTTCTCAATGGTAGTTTAAAAAACACCCTTTTTACCTTTCCAAAATCAGCTCTGCAGAAATCAACCCATTTTTTGCATGTTGCTTTAAATGCTAATGAGCTCTGCTGACCCCGCCCCTCTCTTCTGTGGGGTGAGGAGTGCTCTGAGAGACTGTTTACTTTAGCGCAAAACTTGCTAAGTAGCACGTTATTAGGAACAGCTATTGCAAAGATTCATAAAAAAAAACCTTATACTCACTTCTGCTGTAAGTGAAGCTGGATCACAAATGATTTGCGCGAACATAAACGCATTTAGGTAGATCGAGGGCGCATTCCCTTCACAAACAAAAGTAATCCACTGCGTCTTCAGCGGCTCAGATGTCGGGAGTAAATGACGACTGCTGGTCATTATTACATCCAACAACAGAACACCTCAATCGCTTAGGAGACATTCTTGTCTACATCTGCTTCTGCGGTGAAACAATGGCGGTCGGACTGTTACAGCTCACTCAGGGCGGGTCTAAGGTAAGACGCTAGTGTCAATCTACTGTCGCGGGAGCGGCCTTCGTCCGTGTGACATCACACAGACAAGAAGCTGAGAACGGCCTGATTTGAAAAAGGGGATATTATTTTTAGGGATTAAATAAAAACCACTGGGTGGATTTTTATCATTATAGGGTAGATGTGTACACACACTGCCAACACACATTTATGTTCAAACAACATGTAAAAGTGAAATTAGCATCCCATGACCCCTTTAAATGATACACAATATACAGATCTTTAATCCATTTCTAAAACAACATTACGAGTTACAGCAACATAATTTTGTAATATGTATACTTAAAGGGACAGTTCACCCAAAAATGAAAATTCCGGCATCATGTTGTTCCAAACCTGTATTACTATTTGTTGCAGAAAAATGACATGAGGGAAAGTAAATGATTACAGAGTTTTCATTTTTGGATGAACCATCCTATTAATTGTATTTATACTGTAGACAGGTGACGTTTACTAGTTTTACTCTGCTGCCACTGTGGCTCCTTCAGTCTTCCGCTTTTCCAGCAGATTCTTCAAAAAGAATTCACCTAAAAAATGAAACCGTATGTTAAAACAAATAATGTTACAGTATGTGTAATTGTAAGTGCTTCATGAAAAATGGAGTCAATGTTTGGCTGCCCTGAGAGTCGAAACTACACCTCTTGTTGTAAAAGCTTTTACAAATTCTAAAGTAGATGATGGAATGAATTTTTTTTGCAAGCAACATACAGCAAATGATTCATTTTATTGATGTAGCTGTTGTTGCCCCATGAGAAAAGATGGGAGATTTAAAGTCACAGCTTTGGGGCATCTTGCACCAGCCAAGCAACTGTCATTGAAAACAAAAATATGGGAATGCTAACAGATGCCATTATCTGAGTATTAGCTAAATTTCCATGAATTAAAACATGTTGTCAGGTTACCTGCTTTGTAAGAGGAGCGCACAAGTGGCCCACTGGCTGTGTAGACAAAGCCCATCTCCTGGCCAACCTTCTCCCAGTAAGCAAACTTCTCAGGAGTAACATACTCTTCCACCTTCAACCAGACACACACTTTCAGACTGATGCATTCAAGAAGAGATAATGCCATTCTGAAAGCGTGACAAGTGTGTGATGTAACAGAATGAAACTGAAATAATGTATGAAATGGGAAATGTTGCCTGTTGCTTTTGAATTATTATTTCTGGAAGACTTCTCACTTCGGTAAAATTTGGTTCTTCTTAGATCTACACAACATGTCCAATCAGAGTTTGTTTTGTTTCTATGCAACGTTATCGAAAATAGATCACTTAAAGAAACTGTATGTTTAGTTTTTTGTTTTTTTTACCTTGAAATATCATTTTCAAAAAGTGAAAAGGGCAGTTTGCTTTATGGCACGGCAAATGGACTTTTATAGCTATTCACTTATAATATATTTACCATAGAGACTTCACTTAACTATAGGGGACTCCAAAAATACACAAAACTACATAGAGTTGCTTTAAGGTACAGTTACATTGCCATTGTTTGGCAATTTTTTTAAGGGTGAAATCCACGCGATTGGGAATTACGCATTAGGGTGAAAGATTTCACATGCAGATTTCACAACGGGTTCAAGCTGGTCACGAAGACATTGACTCTGTGAGCTGTGCTGCATACATTGCTGAACTATTGACAATGGACCAATTTTGCACTTGAAATTCAACCGAATGTGACCACACCTTTACTACCGAATGCTGCGTAAAGCTAGCCAATCAGCTTGTGGCTGGTGATGTCAGTCAGCACTTGCCATTTTTGTGTGCAGAGTGTATCAGATGATTAGTGAACAGACTGGGAGTGTGCCATCCAGGACAGAGTTTGGTTGTTTTATTATTCTCGTACCTTGAGATGGCGTTTGGTTGGCTGCATGTACTGCCCCAGTGTTAGACAGTCCACTCCAGAGTCCCTCAATTCTGCAAGAACACAGAGAACTCTCATATGTTAATATATGCATATTTATCGACCTCCCTTGATACGTAACGCATGTCTAATTCTAATATGAATTACCTTTCAGAGCTGCGCGTATCTGCGCATCTGTCTCTCCGAGCCCCAGCATGATGGAAGTCTTCGTGAGCACACTGGGTTTCACCTTTTTAGCATGTCGTAAAACACTCAGTGATTGGTCGAAGTTTGCACGGGGGTCACGCACATGCCTTAAGGTCAAAGGTCAAAGATGAAAAGTGAGGTCCGCAATGAAATCTACAAGCTTTAAATGATGAGAGCTACTAATTCACTTGATAAAATAGACTAGATATTTCTGCCATCTGGTGGTGACTGTACATGCTAGAAACAAAACAGGGAGAAAAATAAATAAATAAAATATGAAAGAAACATAAATAAAATATATTTACAATAATTTTTATTATTATTTTTATATTATATAATTATTATTTTTTTAAATATTTACATTTTTACAAGTAAAAACAACCACAAATACACAGTGTATATATTTTTGCGTAAAAATAAAACACGAAAAAATTAAACACCACATTTTGAAAGCTGTCTGTGCTTCTGAACTTTACAAACAGCATTAAAAACATTCTTCAAAAAAATAAAAACAAAATAAATAAATAAATCCGTACTGTTACGGAGAAGACTTTTTATGCGAGCACACGAGACTCTACAGCACTAACCTCTGTAAATCTCTGACAGTCTCTACATTGTGAGCATAAACATCAAGCCCAGACAAAGCAATTTTCTCCACTGCTGCCAGATCACCACGGAAATCAGGAGTCAAACACTCTACCAGGATTTCAGGGTTCCTAAGAGAGAAAAGATCATGTATGAGAGAAATGGATGAAAGAGTTGATTCTAAAAAACAAATAAACTCTTTTTTTTTTTCCATTTTTGTACCTTCCTTTAAGGTTGGAGACGGTATTTGCAAAGTGTTCAGCCCCTCCATCAGGAATGTCTGTTCATTCATTATAATAAAAATATGGTCAGAAGTCAAAAATAAAGTGCAACGGTAAATTTTAAAGACACAATGAAACCAAAATGAAAGTTTTGTGCTTCTTAGTCCATGTCTATTCTCTTCTATATGTTATCTGTATGAGAGCATACTACTAAAACTTCACTTACTAAATGATTATAACAGATAAACTCATGGCTATAATGTAACTAAATGGATGAGCCCTTTAATATGTCTTAGTTTTACTAGGAAATACATCAATGAGGAAAGCAATGAGCATGGCAAATGTCCAAGGCTTTTCATGGAGTCTTTCATTTTGGTTTGCTGGTGTTTCACGTTTTCTCACCATCTCTGTCCACTGATGTGAGTACTACATAGTCCAGACCCCATGCTGCAATGGCTTTAGCTGTGTTATATGGCTCCTTAGGGTCAAGAGGTGGAGGACGTCTCGCTGTTTTAACTGAACAAAACCTACAGCCACGTGTGCATGTGTCCCCCATCAACTATAGCAAGAGTGTGGGAAATCAAGTAGAGGTGTTTAGTCAAGACCATAACATTGAGATATTGTTCTTGTGTATGTGTGGGCATTTCGCAGACTCAATGCACTCACCATAATGGTTGCTGTGGCAGTGGCATACTCTCCTCCCCCCCAGCATTCCCCAATATTGGGACACCGGGCCTCCTCGCAGACCTATAACAACAATAACAGTCGATAGACTCGAGATAATTCATGTAACACTGGCTTATAAACATCCTTTTAAAATAACAGAATGTCCAAGCTGCTCGTTTACATACAATAAAAGTGGAAGGTAGTCATCGTTGTTTAGCAAGATTTACATTAAATAGCAAAATTATGTTTACAACACTAAACACTATATAGCTACATACACTAAGGTTCAAAGGTTTGGGGTGTGTAAAATATTTTTTTCATGTTTGTGAAAGTCCCTTATGTTCAACAAGGCTGCAATTATTTGTCACATGATCCTTCAGAAATCATAGAGTGTTCATTTGGTCTATTCTAATATGTTGAATTGGTGCAAATCAATGTTGAAAATAGCTGTTTAATATTTTTTTTGAAAATGGTGATACATATTTTCAGGATACTTTGATGGATAAAAAGCAAAAAAACAACAACAATCTTTTCTAACAACGTATTTACGGTCACTTTGATCAATTAAATGCATCCTTACTGAATGAAAGTATTATTTCTTCAGTGTTGTCACATGAAAAGATATAATAAAATATTTACAAAAATGTGAGGGGTGAACTCACTTCTGTGAGATACTGTATATATATATATAAATTCTTGCTGACCCCAAACAGTGGAGTACGTAGTGCTCA